TAAAAGAAGATTACTTAACAATTAAACTATTTAAATCAAAAGAAGATTTCTGAACTCATTCTAGCAGTTCAACAAAACGAACACATCATTACCTACTTTTATTAAATTAGTCTCTCCCAACTTTAATTACTTTAAATATATAAAAATCTTTAATAACTCTCCCACTTAATTGAGACACGTGAAGAACATGTGATTTATACTTGAAAGTTAATAAACCAACGGAAATGATAACAATATGGCAAAAGCTTTCAAATAATTACAAGAAAAAATTATTAAAATTTGAGAAAATGTATTATTACTTTTTGATTTTAAGATCAAAGCTAAAGAATTGCCTAATTTCAATATTATAATAAAATTTATTAATGTAATAATAAATAATTAATATGATTATATTATCAAAAGTAAACAAAAAAAATCTAAGTATCAACAAGTATAAAAAAGTATTTATTGAATTGATCATTAATCATATAATAAAGCTAATTTTAATAAATTAGAAATATCTACACTTCTATCATACAAATCAGAATTAATTAATAAAACTCAAGAACTTTTTGATTCAATATTCATTATTACTGATATTACTATTTTAGAATCCAGTAATGAGATTTGTGAAGAGAGTTCTTGCAGTAATATAATTGAGAAATCTATAACAAATTTGTCATAATTATCTTTTTTAGTATTAACTCAAAATTAATCAAATAATTCTAAACAATTTTTAAGCATTATTAAAGCTAAAAAGAGTTGCCTGAATTTTTAATTTCTTTATTTTCATTAAAAATAAATTTGATATAGATATGTTTATCCTTCTTTTACAGTAAAAATTCCAAATATCTCAAGAAAAATTGAAATAATAGAAAACTAAAATTGTTTTTAAATTGTGAAATAATTATAATTACTGAAAAAAAGAATATGAAAGCATGAATGAGGCTGATTTTTTTAGAATATATAAAACTAAATTAAGTATTTTTACTACTCTGCACAAAAAAAAGCTGAAAAATAAATCTTTAATCCTCATTGAATATATATAATTGTTATAAATTTTTTAGCAGAGCAGACATAAAATATCAAAACAATATTATCTAGTTAAGTAATAATATTTGAAAAAAAAATTGTTATATTTAACTAGTTATATATCTGAATAAGAAATTTGTCACAATTACCTTCTTCAGTATTAACTCAAAATTAATTAAATAATTTTAAACAATTTTTAAGTATTATTAAAACTAAAAAAGAGTTACCTGAATTTTTAATTTCTTTATTTTCAGAGTTTTTTATTAAAAACAAATTTGATATAGATATGCTTATTCTTTTTTTACAGCAAAAATTCCAAATATCTCAAGAAAAATTGAAATAATAGAAAACTAAGATTGTCTTTAAATTGTAAAATAATCATAATTACTGAAAAAAAGAATATGAAAGCATGAATGAGGCTGATTTTTTAGAATATATGAGACTAAATTAAGTATTCTTATTACTCTATACAAAAAAAAGCTGAAAAATAAATCTTTAATTCTCATTGAATATGTATAATTGTTATAAATTTTTTAGTAAAGCAGACATAAAATATCAAAATAATATTATCTAGTTAAATAATAATGTTTGAAGAAAAGAGATTGTTATATTTAACTAGTTATATATCTAAATAAAGAGATTGTTGTCACTTTTTACAATAAATAAGAGAAAAAATTCAAATAAAAAAATAATATCTTAGTATCTAGATTATATAAAGAAAATTTTTATATTGTATAATAGAATTTGAACAACCATATACTTATTAAAGAGGATTTTTGAGTCATAATGAGTAAGTTGTTGTTATCAATTTTCCTGAATATTATATAATAAAAGAAATTTGTAAGATCAGTAATTCCAAAAAAAAATAATTATTTTATGTAAGTGACTTTTAATATATAAGATAAGATAAAATAAGTGATTATATTATATAATATAACTGTATATAATAATAAATTCTAGTTAATATATGAAATATTTGATAATTATTTTTGTGTTATACGATTTGGATAAATCAAGTTCACTAAAATTTTTAATCAAAATATAATTTTGAATAAGTAATATATAATATATTTTGAAAGATATTTTATGAAGTACAAAGTATTTTAAAAAAAGTAGAATATCAAAGTATTATAATTTGATAACTCATTAAAATATCAGATATTATAATTTAGTAAAATATCAAAGTATTAAAATTTATAGATCAAGATTTAGTAAATAATAAAATATGATTAGATATATAATTTGAAAGAAAAATCAATAAATCATCAAAAAATAATTATTACAAAAAAATATATATATTATAAAATTATGCTTTAATAAATTACTAAATAAAGATAATAATTTATAAAAATTAGTAAAATGTCAAAATATAATTACTACAGAAAGATATATAATATAAAATTATGCTTTGGTAAGTTATCTTTTATATATATTAATAATAATGAAAATTGGTAAGACATCAAGATAAAATTATTATAGAAAGATATATATTATAAAAAATTATATTTTGATGGATTATCAAATAAATAATAATAATTCAGTACTACATACCTCATTCTCAAATAATATTTAAATATAATATAACAAATAGTAATTCAGCACTATATATCTTATCCTTAATTAGTATTTAAGTATATCATATAAAGATTACAAATACTATTTTGGTACTATGTATCTCAACTCTGATTCTCATAGAAGAATTAATTAAAAAGCTAGAATACTATGTATCAAGTTCAAGCATAATTCTTATTTCAGATTTATAAATGATGATACATGATCTAATATATTATTAGATATATATTTTTTTATTTTCACAAATGACGTATAAAACACATTCAAATGATAACTACTATTTAAAATATTGATCAAGTATCTACAGAGATCAAATTCTCAAAATTCACATGGCAAAATATTACACATCATGTGATCTGATGACAAAAATTGATTACTGTCATCATGTGATCTAACTATAATACATCCAGATGTATAAACTATAAATATTCCCAAAAGTGAGATCTAAAAAATGAAATACACGTTACTCGAATGTGATGTAAAAAATGAAACACACGTTATTCTTGAAATGATTATAATTCAAACTAAGTGATATAATTATAATCTAATTATATTACTCCAATTTCAAAGTAAATTGCATTATGAATATAATGTTTAATATAATAAAGTAATTTTTCAAGACTTTAGTACTTGATATTAATCTTGATAAACATAATGTGCATTCAAATTTGTTAATGCATTTTTAATTTTATTCAAAATTTTAGCTTTTGACTTAGTTATTAATAATATTAAAGTGATATTTGATTTTTCTATTGGCTGTTTCTCATTATTGATTTCTGATATATAGTCTTGTTTAATAATGATATTAGTTTCTTCATGATAATAGCAGATTCCATGTCTGATAATAATAATTTTACATAAACAGTTTTGTTCTTTTATAACTTGAAATAATTAATTAAATAACATGAGAATATCAGATGATAAGAAAATAATAAACATTTTGTTATAATGTTTTTAAGGAAATATACTAAACAAAAATTAATAAAATTGAATTTGTTTAAAGAAATTGAACAGAAGAAAGAGGATATTTATAAGAAAAATTTATAACTAATTATATAAATAATTTAAATTAAAATGACCGACATGTATTCTTGTTACCATTTACTTTGGTAGTAATGAAAATTGGCTTTGAAATCCGTATTTTGGAACGAATATAGTTGTACCTATCTCTAGCTATAACGATAAGGATTCTATATTTCCAGCAAATGTATCAGCGATGATTGACAAATTCTGCATTTATCCAGCCTAAATTATTAAATTCAAAAGAATAACCATGCAAGGTAAAATACATTTCTACTAGGGGTTTCAAAAGAAAAACGGCAAGATATCGTATTTATTGATGCAAAAAAATATAGCAGACAAAAACAGCAAGAAAAAGATAATGTGAATATTATATATTTATATCGATATAGTTTTTCCTATTAGCCTGCTCCTCTTGCGACTAAAATACCATCTCTCTGCCACCTCTTTAGATAATTATCTCGCGATAATTTCTGTGTCCAGTTTATATTAACCAAGATCTCTGTCAAATAATAATATATATAGTATAATTTATTATATTAATTGTGTATGCAAGAACGTGAAGCCTTGTGTCGTTCGATCATCTTTTTTCTTACATCATCAAGTATAATGACACCTTTACAAGCCAATGCTAATTGAAGCATTCTCTAACCCAACTTCTTGTATGGTTTGATCAATTCTCTCAATCAGTTGCTGCCGGTTAAATACAAGCTTTAAGAACAAAGATGAATATTTAGTAAAAAATTGCATACAATTTTATTCAAAAAATTAGCAAGCACGCATATAGGACTAATAACTAACCTCAAAATGCTGATCTGGCACACACTCTGATTTTATATACTCAAATAAATATTGTATGGGGTCTGATTTGCGGAACCGACGTACTTTTCTTGAGCTGTCTAATTTTTGAACAAGAAGAAAAATATCATAGCACATTTCAAATTCGCCATTTCATATTTGAAAATCAATTGGACATGTAGAAAAAACGAAAAAACTAACCTGGAAGACGGAACTGGATTCGAGTCACATCAGCTTCACCAACTGCTGGTTCTTCTCGTTGTACAGGTTTAATGGTATCAAACACATTGGTGGTGCCCGGAGGTTCTTAATAGCATACAATCATCAATTAAATTAATATTATTATTATGCTTCTTGTGTACGCTACATAAGAATAATACTATTTGAATACAGCAAAATACCATGCGTTGACTCAGTCTCGGTGATTAATGGTGTTTCTTCTGCATCACCGTTATTGGATATTGAAGGTCTATAATCCAATGATTTTTGCATGGCTGCATTCAATTGCTCTTCTTCTGTCATATCTGAGATGCCCTGTTAAGTTATCAATGTAATTAATTTATTTATTCGATAAATTAATTACGTAATAAAAGAAAATTATAAACAAGAAACCAAAGAAAATTGTTACTTTAGTTTCACGAATATTCTCTTTCTTTTTTAGTCTTGCTGATAGATCTGACAAAGAGTATCGTTCTAAAAAGTCTGTGACTTTATTTTTATTATAAAAAAATAGATAAAAAATCATTAGATCAATGAAATCATTAAATTACTAAAAAAGAAATTCGCGAGAAATAATTACCAGACATTATGAACTCCGTTAAATTCATTAGCTTGTTCCAGACTTTTAATCGTTCACCTATACAATAACGCAAATTCGAAATTCCACACACCAACACAAAATATAAAATCAATATAATTCACGTTATTATTCACAAACCAGTTCTTGGATCAATTATAGCAATGTGTGGATAGTTTTCAATAGAATAGTAGGAAATGTATCTTCGGCCCTCAGGATGATCACTCGTGAACTTTATAAAATAAAATTTCGAAATCAATTAATTGTCACATGTAAGTAAATAATTTGATTGAATTCCCATGACTCACTTGTAAAAAGTAGAAATCAGCTCTGATCACATCTTTGACAGTATCATCACTCCATAGATCGCGATTCAGCTCCATACAAGCAAACTCGGTATTGTCTTGGATGTTGACCATCAACCATTTATTCTCGTTTCGGGCTCGAGCCCGTGTCTAAAAAAAAAAATAAAAAAACGCATAAGCGATCAAAAATCTTATTCTATTACTAGCATTAAGCTTCAATACCTTTTCGAAATCTTCTTTGTGCATAATATCAAGTGGAGGTTTGAATAAAGTAGCAAAAGGGGATAGATCGGAGCCTGAAATCAACAGATATTACAAATCATTACAAATGCTATAGTGGAGTCTTATTCAATGTGTAAAGGACTAATGTTAAAGCTAAATTACAACAATTTAGTGAAGTTACTATTTCTACTGTATTTAATAATATTATTAGTATTAGTATAGTATTATTATTATTATTTTATTTTTTCTTACTTGAAGCATCAGCTTCCCTATGAAACTCATCAAAATCCGTTCTACGTGTAGGAAAACGATGGTGTAATCTACGACCTATTCCAAAACAATGATTTAACAATATTACCATAAAAAATAACGCGTATATAGATAAATTCTTCAGATAATACCCACTACGAAAGAAAGCATCCGCTATACTTTCATCAGCATCCGATTCACCAACTAAAACTTCGCGTACTGGCGCAATAGGGGCACGTACATAATTCTCACCGACAGGCTCTTCAGCTAACTGTCTCGCGAGTGCAGCATCGTCGACACGGTCGCTCTCTTCAGCCAACTGTCTGGCAAGTGCAGCATCACGTTCAATTTCAGACTCAACATTATTTGACGAGTGCTGCTGGGAGACCAAGGGTGATAGATCGACTCCACCACTTTCTAGAAAAAGTGTTATGGCTGGCTCGACAGCCCCATCTGATACCTTTCATAAAAATCAAGCTTGTAGTCCAATTTTTTGCCATGATAAAATGTTTTGCATTTTATAACGACAATAATAATAGTAATAATAATAATATAATAATATAGCGAGCGTTCTAAATTAGACGCATAGCAATATAATGTACCGTCAAGTATGTTCTTGCAACTGAGGCGCTGGCGTTGGTGACTCTGCAGAAACTCAAAATGTCTTCTTCGGAAATGTCAAAGTTTGCGGCCATGATTTTTGAGTGGAACGCTTGTGGGTTTTGGGAAGGACGGACTGTTCAAACAATAGTAATAATACGCAAGACAAGACTACACTACATGAAAAGTGTTCGGAGTGGAAACATTAAGATCCAACTTTTTATTATATAAACTTGCGTCATCGAATGACGCAATGAAATGTTGTCATATTATTAATGGCGCAGTAATTGTAAATATTATTTTTTAGCATCCTTTCCTAGTAGGCACGCAGGTCTCGCATCAACTTGAGTAATGACCATGACTTTCTCAGATCGATGTCCACAGGAAATTCTCACCTCACGGTGTGATATCGAATTGTTACAGGGGATCCTCATCCTCATCATCAGATAGTCGCATCAAATCTAACGCTTCCAAAGATAGCAAACTTTCTTTTTGGTGAACTATTTACTCGATTGGCAAATTTGTAACATCTGTGGCGTAGAATTCGACAGATATACCCTTTTTTTCGAACTGAAGATTTCTTGAGCTGTTTCTATCATTTACCAAGCCATAGAAGATGAACCATGGATACAGCAGGAGGTTTTGAAGGATTTGATTCATCGAGTCATCGATGAATATCAGCAAAAGAAAGCTGTATTATGCGCTAAATGGAAAAGTAGCTAGAAAGTTGTATACTTTATCGAATATGTTTAATTATCAATAACATGAAAGTTATTTGGCAACAGAGGGAAATATTTGTAAGATGTTGGAGATATACTGGTATAACTAGCGGTCGAATGTGATGACGACAAACAGGTATCCCAAGAAAAATTTACGGGCACGTGATTTCTGAGAGGGATAATGCGGGATCACGTGGTCTTCAAAATCCACGCTCACGTGATCACGAAAAATTGACGTTAAAGGTTTGGATTAGGATTAGGGTTAGAGCTGAGAATAAGATTATATGTAAGATTGCTTTTCCGACATTTTTTATTTTCTTATGTCCAAGATCACGTGATTTAGCACTTTCCGTAGACTTCCCGAACATGAAAATATCCGAACATGTGATCGAAGTATTAGCAGGTGATATACAGACTCGATCTTAAATATAAAATCATATTATTCGAGATATTGATTTTACAATGTTCATTTGCAAGTTATAATAATGAGCAGTTTTTATTCAGGTTCAAAAAATATTAAATATAGAATAATATATTCAAAAAAAAACTAATACTAGTCTTTTAGAAAAAACAATTATTATATCAATTAATATAATTAATAAATTCAAAAATCTTAAATCAAATTCTATTTTTCTTATTTAAAGCTAAAAGTCTTAAAATTAATTTCTTATAATTTTTCAATATCCAAATTTTTTATTTAAAAAAAGTATAAAAACTTGATAACTTTATAAAAATTTAAACTTATAAAATCAAGTTATTTTAATTAAATTTTGAATTAACTAAAAATATTTATAATATTTAAAGAAATATTCAAAAAGATTTTAATAAGAGTAAAAATATTAATCAAATAATTTTTTGAAAAAAAGAAGAATTTGAACAAAAATCAGATATATATTAAAATTGAACAATTAAAAAATTCTTAGTTAATCAAAAAAATTAGATAAAAAGAAGAGAAATAAGATTAATAATAAATATTTAAATAATTAGAAAGTGTTTTCAAAATCTTAATATTAATTATAATATAATTAAATCTCTTTATAATCTTCACTTTTAAAAAAGTAAAATTTAGTAATTATAAAAAAATATGATTATAAAAAATTTTTTATTATATTTATATATAAATAAAAAGCAAAATAGAATAATTATAAATAAATATAACTATAAATAAATATGATTATAAATAAATCTAATTATAAATATATTAAAATTATATAATTTCAAAATAAATTTCTTTATTTAAAATATAATTTATTATAAATATATATTAAATAATCTTATATACTAAAAATAAAACTTAATGATATTTATAACAAATATATAGTTAAATTTCTCTATAGTTATCACCCTCAGGAAAACAAAACTTGGTAACTATAGAGAGAATATGACTATAAAGAAGTTTTTTTTACTATATTTATATAGAGAGATGTGACTATAAATGAGTGTGACTATAGAGAGATTTGATTGTACTTAAATAATATTATAAATAATAAAAAATTTAAATTATAAAAATATATTAAAGAGAAGTCAAATAATATATTATATTTATAATATAATCAAATCTCTTTATAATTATCACTATTAAAAAAATCAAATTATATAACTATAAAGAGATATAACTATAAAAGAGTTTTATATTAATTAATATTAAATTAGAATTATAATAATTTTAATTAAATTATGATAATTCCAATTAAAGTTATTATAATTTAATTTTATATAATCAAATTTCTCTATAGTTATCATTCTTAGAAAAGCAAAGTTTGGTAATTATAGAGAGAATATAACTATGAAATAATATATTTATTTAATGAAAAAGCAAAATAGAATAATTATAAAGAGATATAATTATAAATAAATATGACTATAAAGAGATTTAATTATAAATAAATAAATAATAATTTTATAATAACAATTAATTATTTCTTAATAATATAAATATATATTAAGTTTTATTAATTAATTTTTTAAATAAAACTTAAAATATTAATAATTTTATATATAAAATTAGATTTTTTACAAATAAATAATTTTTAATAATATAATTAAACTTATATATTTTTTAATAATATAAAATATTATATAATTTTTATTAATTAATATTTAAAATTAAAAAGTTTTTTTAATTAAAATAGAAAAAATTTTAAACTTTTATAAATAAACTTAAAAATAATTAAAATAACAAACTTTATAATATTAAGCAAAAAAAAGTAAACAAAATTTACTTCTTGATTTATTTTTTTAATTTTTGTATTAGTTTTTTAAAAAAAATATTAATATTATATAATAATTGTATAATAATTATATTTATTTATTATTTAATTAATATAATATAATTATATAATTAAAAAAATAATTAGAAATATGTTTAATATTGTTACCGTTTTGAGCTTTTGCGTATGAAAGTATTTCAAAATGGCAATAGTGACTGTGTTCACAGCAATTTAC